TTATAAATAATTTGTGGTGGTAAAGAAATATGTGAATGATAGGAAGATATTATTACTTATGGATGAAAAATATAAATTTATTTTTAAGTATAAAAACCTTAAATTAATCAACTTTTTATCATGTTAACAGCTTAAAGGGTATTTCAGACATTTTGATTAAAAAAAGTGTTTACCAGCACTTATTTGCCAAACACATCAACAACTTTTTTTTCAACTGCAGCACTTTTATCCAAACACATAACTACTTATTTTTAAAATAAGTTCCAGCACTTTAAAAAGTTACTTTTTAAAAGTTACTTTTTTTAAGTCAATCCAAACGAGCCCTAACTATTGCTATAGTTTGATTTTTTTTAAAAAAAAGGTATTAGTAAGATGTTTTTTAATTTAACACTTATTTAAGAAGAATACTTTAAAGTAAAGGAAATAAAATTGGGTAGAAATTCATTTTTTTATTATCAAAAATCCACTTAAAACTTCAATAAAACTAAACAATAGCCTTGCACAGAATTGAACACATGACTACTGAGCTAAATTGGAGGACTTTTGCGATTGAGTTATGGTAATTAATGGTTTCTAAGATGTGATGGATACCATATAAATAAATAAAAATATGACATTTTAAAAATGTTTTTTATATAATTTTTCGATAAAAAATATTTGACTTACCACCATAATTATAATGTAGCTCAGCCCTTTCTTTATTCTAAACTTTTTAATAGTCATAATCAGATCTACTTTTCACTTAACCTTATAAAATCGCCTTTTAAAAAAATTTGAAGGTACTTTGTTGAATTCTCTCTAAATATAGTTTTATTTATTTAGTCAAATAAAATAGAATATATAGAAAAATTAATTTTATGATGTTTTCTTATTTTTACCAGATCATTCCTATAAAAATAATTGTCTAGATACTAACTGTCCTCCTGACTCCTAAACAAGTAAAATTCCAAATCTTTCCATGAGAGTGCTTCACCCTTAACTAGAGGTCTCGGGTTCGAATACGGGATATGGAAAAAATCTTGTTGGGAGCGTCACCCTCGAATAAGTCTACACTGCGTGTCCGAATTTAATCGGAGTTTCAATGTGGGCTCCGAGAACCATCAAAATAAAATTCCATTCTTTCTAACCCCAAAAAAAAAGACATTCGAATTTTAGCTAAACACGGCAATTAACCAGTTTTAAACTTGGTCAAACAGATCCAGGTCTAGTCTAGAATTT